GAGCCCTCCAAGCGGACTATGGAGCGCTCCTCCTCCATGTAGGTTTCTCCGCCTTCATTCATCATATCAACCAAGTTTATTTATATTGTGCTTAATTAAATAAATATAATTGATAGCTCTTGCCTCTACTCACAGGTTATTCTCACTACCAAAAAAATGATTTTTAGTGACAAAAATTTATGATAAATTTTGAAATTATTACTATAATTTATTACAATTATAACATATTTAAAAAATTAATCACCAGATGCATACATATTTAATGATGAATAAAAAAATTCATCATAAAAAATATATTTCGTCCCCAAAAAATATTCATAGAGATAAAATAAATTTTTGTTGATAAAAATCATCACCAAAATGCATTACAATTATGAAAAAATTCTAATGTTGGTCACATATACCTTACATATTCAATGATGACTAAATAATTTATCACTAAAAATATATTTCGTCACTAAAAATTTTCAATTTTCTCTAATCAATGCATCCCACGTCGATAAAAAATACATAAGAGAATAAAGTTTTGCACTATAAATATATCCCACATCGATAAGAAATATTTAAGAAAATAAATTTTTGCACTATAAAACATGTGAAACTCAATAAAACTTGAGATTAGTTTGGGCCTGATTAATTTTAATCAGATTTGATTAATTTTAATCAAAATTGATTAGTATTGAAATAATTATATTTTTTATTAAACTTTTGTGATAAATTTATCTATCATTTTTTGTGACAAAATTTTTGCTAAAATATTTGTGTTATAATTATATAAATATCTTTTTTATTTAATATCAATTTTAATAATTAATGATTAAATTTTATATTATAATTGCATTTGTGACGTATATTTTTTTGTGACGAATAAAATTATTATAAATAATTTGTTAACAATGTTAATTTTTTTTATCAGTATAAAATTATTTTTTGTGATAAGTACTTAATTTGTCATTAAAAACATTAGTGATAATAGTTTTATTAACGATTTAAATTTTATTACTAATAATAATTTGTGATAAAAAATAAAAATTTAATAATCAATAATTTAGTCAGTAAATATGAATTTTATTGTAGTGACTTTCGGCAATCCTCTTGTATCTCGAAGTCCACATGCGCCGAGAGGAGTGGGGAATGTGG